ATATATATATATATATATGCGCGCGCAAGTGTGTGTGTATTACATATAAAGAAAACATGAGGTTTGCTAGCAAAATCCACGAGATGGAGGAAGATAAATTAATGGTTTATCTCATGTTTGCTTCACGCAAGCAGCTATATGGGGTTTGCTTCATCGCGTGGCTTTAAAGACTTCATTAGTGTTTATCCCCCACACCCCTCTACACTCCACCCCACCCCACCCCACCTCCCAAATATCACCAAACCCTAAAAATCCCACCCTCTTTCTCTTCAAAAAACTGTATTAGTGTGATGTTCTGTGCCATCGAGGATAAATCTACAAGAAAATGAGTGCAAACCCTAGTGGAAATAACAACGGCGGTGGAGGCAGCAGCAGTGGAAGCAGTGGCGGCGGTGGTAGTCCATGTGGGGCATGCAAGTTCTTGAGGAGGAAGTGTGTAGCTGGGTGCATATTTGCACCATATTTTGATTCGGAACAAGGTGCAGCACACTTTGCAGCTGTCCATAAAGTGTTTGGAGCCAGCAATGTGTCGAAGCTTCTCCAACATATTCCGGCAAACAAGCGGCTTGACGCGGTGGTTACGATATGTTATGAGGCTCACGCGAGGCTTCGGGATCCCGTCTATGGCTGTGTTGCCCACATCTTCGCCCTTCAACAACAGGTAAATATGCTCCTAGCTTTTTTGGTAGGTTTTACCGTAAATTAGTTAAAATCTTGTCTAAAATAATCAATCCATCTAGTACTCTACGGTGCACTCGACCACACCTTTTGGGTTGATCTTAGACCTTGACTCGTCGTCCATTTAGCGAAAAGACCAAGATGTCCCTACCATGATTAGTGGCTTATTCATGGTTTATCCTTAAAAATCTGTCCTATCATGGTTGGTGAACTAATTATAATCCATCTCCTTCCGTTACAAACTCTCTGTTGCTTGTTTTATCCTTTTGCCAGCTGAACTCATGAATATTGATTATATACATTTGCATACACTATCAAATTATTGAAAGATTTTTCCTTTTTGGATTCATCTTTTTTCTTCAAACACGATAATAAAATCTATATTCCCGAATTTGTCGAACAAAACAACAATCTGTAACTCAGATTGTGAACTCTGCAATAATCCTTCTCTAGTTAATAATTAAGCTGAAAAGAAACATAGACAATGTTTGGTAGCTGTATATATTATATTAGTCTGATTAAGCTGTCATTGAGTAGGTTTGAAGGTTTGAATTGGCTTATGTTATGTACCTTGGATGTGGCTCTAGGGATCATAAGTATAAAAAATATGAATTTATTAATATTTTATAAGTGTGGACCATGATGTGGTATTGTGGTGCAGTGGGGGAACAGTATAACAGTTTCCTGAAATCAATAAACCTGATGGATTTGATTAACGTGTGATGTGGTCTGTGATTACACTTTTTTCTGTGCAAATTCTATGATTTTGCTGTTATTGAGGAGCTGGTCTGTCATTCTGGGGTCCTCCGTTCAATACATTAAAGTATTCAAAAACTATTGCCTCCTGTTTACAAGAAATCACCATTTTTTTCAACAATCCCTGTGGTTTATTTATTCACTCCAGGAAAAGAGTCTTCTATATATCACACATTTTACTGTTACTTTGATTAGAGGAGGGGTCTACTTGAACTCCAATTAATGAAAAATAAGAACAAAATTGCCTCATTTTAAGGCCGGGAGAACGGGAAAGGAAAAAAGATATTACACTTCATACGATTTGCTCATAAAAGTCTATGGCCATGTTTGGGATGAATTCTCAAAATTTTACAATAAATCAATTCTCATTTTCAACCACACATTCTTCAATAAAATAATATTTTTCATCACATCAATAATTTTTTCTTTTTTTTTTTAACCACACATTTCCCATCATATCACTATTCAAAATCAATTCTTTCCCCAAAAATATCTCCCAAACAAACACTATGTATTTATTGTTCGATAGAACTGTAAACTTATATAATAAGACCCCAAATAATGTGGGCTGAAAAGGCCCACAACATTAAAGTCAAAATTAGTACCCTTTTTTTAAGGTGTTTTTGATTAATACCCTTAAACTCTAATTACACATTTTAATGAAGTATTAATTACGTCTTAAATTGACACTTATGTGTACAATAAATGATTGAGTAACAACTACTGTTCCAAGTGAAGCCACTCTTGAANTCAGACAATTTCACATTGGGAAAATTAGGTCCATTACTCTTTTTTTTTAGGTGTTTTAGATTAATACCCTTAAACTCTAATTAAACATTTTAATAAAGTATTAATTACATCCAATTGTGATTTTTTCGTATAAAAGTGACATAATGTCACTTTTTCATAGAAAAGTAACATAATTCACATTCTCCTTTTGTGAAACACCTTGTACGCATCAATAATTTAATTGATTCAAAATTTTCTTTTTCATGTGCATTACCAAAAAACGGGGCATGAATTGGTATGTTCAAAATTCCAAAAACGCATATGTATGCATCTAATTAATTGCTTCAAGGATATAACGTGGCTAATGTCACTTTTTTTTATAGAAAGGTGGCAGAATTCATATTATCCTTTTGTCAAACACCTTACATGCATCAATGATTTAACAGATTCAAAACTCTTTTCATATATATTGACACAATCCATTCTCTCTCAAATTCAATAATATTATTTTCAAACATATTTTCAAACACAATAACAAATGGTTAAAGAGGTTCAATACTGGGGAAGGAGGGGCTAAAGGATCACAAAATTGGGGAGGGCGTGCGATTTTTTTTAGAAAAGTAACAAAACGTCACTTTTTCATAGAAAAGCGGCAGAATTCACATTATCTTTTTATCAAACACCTTACATGCATCAAAAATTTACCGCATTCAAAACTCTTTTTTCA